ATGGCTTTAAATGTAGAACAGACCCTTCATGCTCAGTCTTTCAACTGGTATTTTGTAGGCACAAGCCTACATGTGTGTTGTATTTTTCCAACGGAAATCTACTTTTGTGTTGCCGATATAAAAATTAAGCAGTTTACATCAAACACAGAATGAATGCCAAGTTGTGTAGTATGAGGGGTTGTGTGTGTGAGATGAGATTTCTAACTAACTGGAAGATCAGCTTTTCTAAAGCATGTTACTGTTGTTAGCAAGCACATAGCATTGTTATTCAGAGAGGCAAATACCAGGTTAGATCTGACCTGGTGTCCTGTGTTCCGCAAAGAACTAGTGGGTTTGAGGAAAAGTCCTACAGAAATCGTAAGGAGTTTCACAAAAATGGCTTTCTTCTAATGAGGAATATGTAAGGTCACAATATTTTGCTGCTGGTAGTTACACAGATTCTTCAGGCAACTGGCTGCATCTATTCCAAACAAAAAGCAAGGAGTTACTTTTTTACAAAGACTGAAAAATGGAGGCTAGAACTAAGGGAGTAGAGGAATATTCTCAAAAGACAGAATGGAGGTACCAGCAGGACACTCTGCATCAGTGCTGGCTGGCTTCGAGTGGGGGCTTCCCCTCTAGTCACTACGCTCGACTCTTAAATAGGATGGTTCAGGAACCAACCATCCATGAGCTCAGAGTAACCCAGTCAAGTTTCCAACTCTTCCCTAAAGCAAGCAAGCAACCAACCAACCTTTACACAACATGGTTAAAACCCACAGTGGAAAAAAAAAAATGGCCCAGACTACAGTGCTCAGTAGTTATATTCAACTTTTTGAGGCTGGATCAAACCCATGGATCATCAACTCTTTACAGGCTAAATACTTTTATCTACCTATATTTATGTAACATCAACTGTTGTCTATTTCCTTTTTTAATATTCTTGACTTAACAATGGCTTGCCAAAGCCTTAAGCCATTTCCATTTTAACTGATTTATAGAACAACAGGCTTGACATGAGGACTGGAGGAGACAGGGATGTCCTACACAGACTTAAGTATTAAGTACTAAGGCTGTTGTGCTCTGGTGGCGCTGAGGCCAGGCCTGGAAACTTCTGCTGGCATTCATAAGGAGCTTGTCACTTTACCCATAGTCTAGCAACCATTGAAATGAGTAAGGGAAATTTAGTACTATTCTAGAAGGCTTACTTTAGATTCACAGAACTTTTGGTGATATTCAAAGCACTGGAATGAAAAGAAGACTCCACAGACACTGCTAATGGCTTGAGGCTTATCAATACAGTGAAAACAACAGATAAAAGCTATGGTCTGGGACATTTCCAGCAATCTAAATGGCTAAACAGGTTTAACTTGCCAACCGAGTACAAATTAGTTTAAGTACAAATTAGCTTCTCAGTTAAGTCAAAGTTGGTTAATTGAGATGCTTCTCGCTCTTGGTTTGTTTTCCTAATGAACTTCTGGCCATGTTTATCGAACTTCTTTAAATAATTTCACTCTTTATACTTAACCTTCAAAAATATTTCAGTCTTCCTCACTATGAAAATAGGCTGAGCCTGAACCTTACCCAAGTTCTAATTTCATGATTGGACTTATGCCTTGTCTGGCAGGCGGGGTGCTTCTCTTAGAGTACAGAGGACTTTGCAAACCTATTGGATAGATTAGGATCGAGTAGTTTCTCATTCGATCTGCTCTTTCGTATACACAACACAAGTCAATGTTTGTTATGACTTTCTTGATCCTTATTTATAAGACAATACAAGAGGAAACCATGTGTGTATGTTTGAAATAGAAATGATACATTGCACAGATATAGTTCACCACGTTCTGGGATGGGTTGTCAGTGTTCAAATGGGGAGTTTGAAGAGTAGGAACAGATGCTTTTTTTCCTTAATGGCCCTTTCTCTAATTTAAAATCCTTCCATTTATTTCCCTAAGATTTAGTGATAACTTTAAACACTTTAACTAAATTACCCAGAGGCTTGGCAGCCATCAGAGAGGCAAATCTTTTTAGAAATCCTAGCAATCTGTTAGATCATGGGTTCTGTGATATAAAATCTGCATGCTTCACGTACAAAAATTAAATCAGTGCAATGGATACAAATACATAATGCAAATGGCACCATTTCTAAGCTGAGGGTACATGACCTGCCTACCTCTAAAGATCGAATTTCCTTTTTTTCCCCCTCCAGTCATTGACTTTCTAAATTTGGGCCAATTTATTCACAATATCCCTAAGTAAACCTACTTTGATTTTTTTTTAGCAGTTATGTTATAATCAAATGGAGCCAGCAAGCCCTGATTCATGGATCCTGATGTTGCTAGGATACATGGCTTGTAGTTGATGAAAGTATTATCGCTTCCAAGGAGAAAACTTTCAAGTGTCCTAGAAAATGACACTCCTATCTTCCACTGTGGAAGACAGGCCCAATCCTGGAGCTTCTTGGAAGCTCTTGGATGTCAGGATTGGCCTCCCCTACTGAAAGAAGCAACCTTTCTGGTGGGCTGTGCAATGGCTAACACTAGTTAGGTTGGTCTTAAAACAAGGAACACACATCTTTATAATAAAACATGTTTTCATGTTTGTTTTACAGTGAAGAGAAAAAAACCCAGAACCCCCAGATTTTATGTACTTTGAAAATATATTTAAAAAACATTAAAAATTCTATATTTAAAACATATATTATATGTTAATTAGTACACTTAAATAGAACTTGTATTTACAATAGGCTTCTGATGCGGTTAAGTTTTAATGCCAATTTTTTTCAATAACATAATTATATAAATATACTAAAATACAATAAATATTTTTTTTGTTTGTTTTACATGGTGAATAATATCTTTACCATAGAGAGAACAAGGCCACAGACATTTACTTACATTTTCAATGGGAATCACCATAAAAAAAGCAACAGGCCTGCTGCCATGCATGAAACACTTCTGCCACAAAGAGACCATAGCAAGACTTTAAAGAAAAACAAAGGAAACAAAACAATAAATAAAAGAACAAAAATGAAAAGCAACAGAAAGAAAGAGTTTAACAAAATAATCTCAGATCAACATAAACCACCAAGCATGTGACTGATGTATCTTATTGGGTAGGAGACACTGACCACACAGTTGCTGAATATCTCCTAGTTCCTCCACCCCTTAAAGAGATTATGAAAGCCTTTGCATTATACTGTGAAACTGTGATGGGAATTCTTTTAGAATTTTGTCCCTGGAAAGGAGGCTGCAAAAAAATAACATACAGCAGATATTCCAAGTATTCTTTACATGTGAAAAAGAATTACAAAGATAGCATTTTCAAACAGCACAAAACAAACCTATACTACATAAAGTCTGCCTTCTTTTAAAGACAGGTATTCAGATGGTACTATAAAAGACAGGCTTGTTCTAAAGGAAGGAATGAACAGACAGCAATTATTTGCCGATGGTATCTTCATTCCCTGGGTCATAGTAGCGTCTTTTGCTTATCCCTCACCCTGCTAGAAACAGCAATTTCTTGAGCCTTTCTGATACTCAAGGACACTGGTCCAGGACATTTTCAGGCTGAATAGGATTAGTTCTAACGTTTTTCTCTGGGGCCTATTTTCCCCACTATTCCAGGCTCCCAGCTTGATTTCTCCTGCCCCAAGATTGCAGAGGTTGAGGCAGGGATCCTCTCCATGAACAAACAGGATGTGTAGGCGGTTGCTGTGACCTTCACTGGGGATGACAACTTCATTCACTCTTGCTCTTCCATCAAGCAAGGCACCTTCAAGCCTTTGGTGTCCTGGATGTGCAGACACCTTCTAGACAAGTGTTCCTATCAGTAGCCTTGATCATTCAACCTGAGTTTTGGGGTCTTTTCCTATTCCTTTCCCCCGACTGAAAAATCTCAAAGGATAAACCCTGGTTTCCTTAAGTGTAATTTCAAAGTCATGTGTTCCTGTAGCAAGCATCTTCAATCTCAGCCTATCAATCCCATGATCATAACACACTTGGTTCTGAACTTGCTCCGGGTTAATTCAGCTTTATGCAAAATTATCCAAGGGTGGAGGGTGTAAGTCAGCTTGAGCACGGTCCTCCAGCGAGAACCTCTTAGCACAGTTAGATAATGTAGGCACTTAAAGCGCGAGGTCCAAGCAACTTGACATGTCATTCCAGGGCCACCTCTGAAGGGCCCTCCAGGGCCTCCCCTTTGGAATGTCTCAAGTACCATTCCCCTCCCCAACCTAGACCTCAGGACAGCAACGGTGGCTAGGAAATTCCTCCGCCCCGGCCCTGCCCAGGAGCCATGGGAGCCATCTATCAGTGGCCTCGGTATGTCACCGGCCGTATGGGCTCCTGCTCTGATCTAGGTGTTTTTGGGTCCATGCAAAATTCCACCTTTTGCTGGCGAGACACTTTTAAGCTTTAGTGTGGAATTTTTTTAAAGCCTGACAATGAGTTACCCAAATATTTACCCCTCAGAAAAAAAAAAAAGTCTTTTTTTTTTAGTTATTTGTCGTTCTTTTCCTCTTCTCAGAAAAAAAATAAAATCACTGTTCTCCATGCTTATGTGACTGCCACGTGTGACAGAATTTGTTCACAGCAATGGTCAAATATTTCAGAGCGCGCAACTGTTTTAAGGGAAAACAAAAATAAAGAAGGGACCATGAGGGGGAGGGGGGGAAAGAATGTGCTCGAAGTAAAGTAGGTCTTTTCAACAAAAGAATCCTCCCCAGACCAAGGCGAGGCCCAGAGGGGGAGCAGGCGCCTAGTGGACTGAGCACGTGATTCAGTTGCCTTGTTTTTATTCATTTTCAGTCATCTGATTGATACTGCAACGTCTTTACAACATACAAATGAATCGTCCACCGACCAGACCAGAATATATAGTGAAAGAATTCTTTCCCCATCCCTACTCCCTATGGGAACAAAACAAAACAAAACAAAAACAAAAACAAACAAAAAACACAAAACAAACAAAATAGACCCCGCCCATCCCCCATCCCCTAAGCCAGTAAAGCGATGACAACAGCACCTTGACATTGTTTTAATTCCAACGCTATCAGAAGTTAAAAGCAGTAAAACAGAGAGAGTACTAACAAGAACGAAGATACTTACTGTCTAAAATGTAAACGGAATGTTTTGGTTCAAATTTTTGTTGTTTTTTGTTTTTGTCTGTTTTCTGAAAGAGGACAGTTTATTATCAATTCACAATTAAAGCAGCATGCAATTTATTATTATTATTTTTAAACTTTTTACGTTTTCAATTCTTGGCAACGGCAACAAACCACAACATTATCGAGGAATGTAATGCAGACTTTTTAAAGTTGTGCGCAAAATGACTTTCCCTTCTGGTCATGGATATGTCCAATAAATAGATTGTAGAACCACTGTACTGTATAAACTTCATTTATACATGCAGTTCATAAAATTATTTTTTCTTAACTGAATAATTTACCCTGTTATGTATATATACAAATAGATAATTTTTGTCTCCATAGAATCTATACAACATAAAGCCACTATCTTCCCCTTTTAATGGTCAATGTACATACACAGGAAGTGTCTATCCTTATGAATCGCCAGCCAATTCTCTTTTTGCTATCCATGGTGAGGGCCCGCACGTACGACTGGGTAGTTCGGCACTGAGAGTTCCAATGCCTTTTGTCTATGCCCCTGCACCCCTCCTTTGTGTAGCCCATGGGATTGCACTTGGTCTCGTAGAAGTACTGCTTCAGTTGGCCTTTCGATACGGGGACTTTTTCCAGGACCGTCACCGTCCCGCCCGACATGTCCACTGCAGTCTTTTTATCCGCCGCCGTCACCCACTCGCTAATGCTGTCGCACACACTCAGCTCCCCGCGGCGCGCGGGGTCAGAGTGGCGCCGGACCCGCATGGACATGTTTGCAGCATCCAGGTAATTTTTGTATTCCTCGAGCAGAAAGAGGAGAGGAGGCTCCAAAGGCACTTGACTACTGAGCATCACCCGGGAGGTGTACAAGTCCGCGTCCTTACTGTTCTCTTCATGGGGCCGGACTTTCTGGTCCTCATCCAGGAGCTCTTCTATCACATGTTCAAAAGTGTCAGCCAACGTCAGGCCTCTTGAACCGGCCTTGGGCCCATTCACGCTCTCCAGAGTCCCATGGGTCCGCACACCTGGGTAAGCCAAGCTGCCTGGTCCTCGGACACTGGCTTCTTTCATGGGGGCAGCCTTCATGCAACCGAAGTATGAAATAACCATAGTAAGGAAAAGGATGGTCATCACTCTTCTCACCTGGTGGAACTGCGGGGAGAAAGCAGAAACAGGACACAAAACCGGTTAGGGCTTGCTTTCTCAGGGAGACCACGCAGCCCATCTGATTGTAATTCCAGGTATCCTGCAGGGTCAAGGCTTTTTTATGTATTGGTGATAAACTCCAGCTGCACCAGACACAAATGGATGTCAGTAGTGTGCGCTATGTGTTTTAATAGAAACCAGAGACATGCAGTGCTTTCCCCCAAGATTTAGCATATACACCCGAGATTAGATGTCTTCTAAGTGAAAAAATTGTGGCTTCCAGCTCTCCCCCTTCCTCCCACTTCAGCAGCTTTGTAAGTTTAATTTTTAATGATCTCTGCTCAGGCTGTCACAAGAAATACAAAATCAGAAATGTTACTAAGCAACAACTGCAAATGTAATAGTATTTTTTCCCCCCAAGTTAGCAACATGGTCCTGTGGCAGGAGCTTGCGACAGGAACAGCAGTGGCCTGAGGGGCCTGGGAGGGCCTCTGGAGCTGTGTGGTGTGTGGGCATGAACAGTTCCATTAATCGGAAGTCAGGGTGCTGTAAGGAACCTTTACGTTGACTTCTTACTCATCCCATAGAGGTAAGCCATTAGAGCACAGAAGAAATTATTGTCAGTGAGCTCCCCTGTTTTACAAAGAGGGTACCCACAAAGGGTGTGCTTTGTATCGCCACGCAAGTTTTTATTAGCGCTCTGGGCTCCCAACTCCACATCCATTGTTTCTTCTAGGACACCTGGGTGGTCATGATTGAGAATGCTTTGCTTATTTTCAGCAGAAATCATTTTCTACACGTTGATTTTAATGATGTGTCTATGCCTGGGGCTGATATCATGAAAACAATGTGTCTGCTTAAGAGAACTGGAACAGTCAGCATTAAAAAGGCACTGAAGTCAATTTCAAATGTCTCCCATATGCAGATCCAGGTTTATCTCCACCAACTCTCTGGGCCCCTCACCCCGTGATTGCCCTGGTGTACAGACAGATCCATCTAAGAAAGCTCAGCTGCTCCTTTTATTGGAAACGTGATCCTGTACGTATGTGTCTGTGAGCTGAGTTTATCATGCCTTTAAAAAGCTGAATAGCATTTTGCACATTTTGGAATAGGCAGCTAGTGCTTCTTTCTGTGCTTTTGAAGTTTCCTGGGAAGTCCCTTAACAGCACACCACAAAATTAATCTTTTCCTGTTTGCCAGAGGGTTGCTATACTCTAAATTTGGCTCTACATCTACAAGCATGCTCAGGGAAGCCAATTAGAATGAATGAACAAGCAAAATGAAAACATACCTACAGATCAACCCAAGGTGACCGTCAGGTGGGGAAGGACTTCAGAATCACTTACCTGTAGCATTGTGCCCCTCAGTAGTAAAGAGACGCATTCCCCAGCCCCGGCATTCTAACTTTATTCCTACTCTGCTCTGGAGTATGGGCTTAAAAAAAGACACATGCGTGCCATAACTGTTATCTTGTGCCAACTAGCAGGCAAAGAGACTGCTTTTCTGTTCATGAAATGTTACTGAATGTTCAGGAAGGCAACCTACCTCCAGTGAACAGCTCATACAGCAGAAATGGCGAGAGTTCTGGGCTTCAGAACCAGATGTCTCTCTTCTCCATTTTTATCACAGACCACTATTTCTACCAGAGAGTTTCTCAGCATTCCAAACATTAACAAATATCCTTGTGGCTTCACTCTACCTTTGCACATAGAGATGTCAGCCCAGAAGCGGCTTGGGACGTGCATGGTCTGAGATTAGGAAGGGCATAGTGGTTTGAACAAAGCATAGATATCCATTCTGCTAAGACTTGAACTTTTGTGCATATTTTGGGCTTTACATCACAAAGAAATGGATCCTCTATGGAAGAGTTCTGTTGCTGGCAGGCAGTACTTACACCATTGAGTGGAAACCCTTTCTCATATTTCAAGTCCAAATGAAAACACCCTGGGATACCTCAAATACAGGTTGAAGAAAAAATGCAAATTTAGAAAATTTTATGCTGGTCACCTATACTATACCAGTAGAGTTTGGCTGTGAACAGCTCTCTTTTTCTACCATATTTCACTATATTTAAGACATCAACTTTTTTTAAAAAGATTTATTCTATTTATTTATGCATACAAAAGCTGGGGTGTAGTCCAAAGGTCTCTCACCACCAGAGGCAGAGTGGGAAACAGAACAGATGGATAGACTGAAATACACTGCTGAGGGGAGCAGTGAACGAGACAGGATAGGACTGTTGCACCATGTAGGTCACCTCCCTGGCTAGGAATCAAACTCATGACACAGTGGCTGGCAATAGCTTGATAGCACTGAGGTTTTAACTCCCATACTACCAGGGAAGCGAAGCCCCCTATGACATCATCACTTTAATACATACCATGTAAGTTACCAAGTTGAAAGTAAAAAAATACAGCCAGTTAAACTATTGCTTTCTTTATCACTTAGAACTTATACTTCCTAAGGAGAGAGCTTATTGACTTATTTGGGCACAATGAATCATATTTAGTTATGTGCATAGGTAAAAAAAGAAAATTGAATAATTAGGCAATGATAACTATGGCATGACTACTACAGAGTCAACAATAAGACGTGAACTATAAGCTATAACCCAGTTTCAGAGATTTAAAAAAAAAATGACTAAAGTGCATACTACAATTAACAAAATGGAGGCAGTTTACTCATTATTTACTAGGTGCCTCCTCTCCATGCTTAAAATAGCTCAAGATATTGAGGCATCTTAACCACAAAATTGGAAAAATTTATGTTATTGTTGTCATTACTATAGTTATGAGTCTTTTGGTGACACCTTTTTTTGTATTTAGCTTCAAGAAGTTTGCTTTGCTGATCGTGGGTCTCACTTTGTTTTTTAATTAATAATGCTTTGGTGAGAAGAGTAGTTTGTATTACACTTATTATTTGTCATCATTCCCACAAGCCAATATGTCAGAGAAGCGAATGACATTTGAGTAAATATTACTTGGTTTTCCATCTTGCAGCTCACCCAGGGGCATCCTAACAGCTGAAATTTGCATATATTCAGCTAAAAATTACCTGGTAATCAAGCCCAACCACCTCCCCAGACTGGCCCTCTGAGCAACATCTCTGCAGTGCTAACTTCTTACATGCTTCTAACACCTCAAAATTGAATGCATCTGACACCAATTCAATACTTTTTGTTGGAACAATACTACTTTCTAACTTTTCTGTGTCTGACAATGATTTCTTGATATTTTGGGCAACCCAGGCTGCAGGATAGAAATCCTGACATCAAGATTGACAAAATATTTCTCACTGAGACTTCAGATCCATAAAGAAGTCTAGTGCATTTATCCTTTAAAACATGTCTCCTGTCCCAATACAGCTACCTTGGCTTACACCTTAGCAAGAGACTCGCCTGTGACTCCATTGTCTTCTTGATGTACTTGATTTGCATTCAACTGAGATTAGAAATGAGTTGCCTACCTGATGACACTTAAATTATTCTTTTACACAAAAAAATTTGCAATGGCTTTCTTGTTCCACCAGATCAAATCCAACCACTTTTACATGATATTGAACAACCTTTAGGCTCTGATCTCAACTTACTTATCTACTTATCTTTTTCAATTACAAGTATTCTTTTACTTATTTTTTAATTTAGGTAATGTTTGGATACCCCCCTGAGGTAACACACTACTGCTGTGCACCCACCACCAAATCACGCACATCACCATAGTCTGCATCACTACAATCCATTTGCATCCTTTCGCTCAATGCTTTATGACCCCCAGTCTGACCAAGCCAGATTCCTGGGAATCCTGAACAGACTTCCTCCCATTGTCTCACTTAAGTCACATTAAGTTATTATGTGACTTAACAGGCTTACAATGGTCATTCTTCTGGTAAACTTGTTCTCTAGCTGACTAATCTTGTTTATCCTTCCTGACCCTGTTTAAGTATGAAAGCATATAAGCTACCATCTCTAATTATTTCAGCTCCATCTACCCTCCTCTAAAATTCCATGTTCCATCTCACTCAGTGTTTCATTCTCTACTTACTTGTTAACTGCACTTGCTAAATATGGTCAATTCTATTAGATGACAAATTCTGACTCAATAGCTCTTGTCTAATGCCCCATAATGCTTTGTATTAAATAAAATAAAAACACTCAGTAAAAATTTATTGATGGTTTATTAAACCACATGTAAAGATAGTTTTGAACTAGTTTCTATGGGAAGTCTTTCTATCTGGAGAGTACTAGTGAACTCTGGCATTGCTAGGTCAACTACAGGCTGTGCTAAACCAAATTATAAACTCTAAGGGATTTGATGGATGGCAACTATTAGCCACGAGCAATCTCTTGAGTTTCTCTAATAGGGCAAAACTTTACTTAAATAATTAAAAAGCAACTAACACTACAACATACTAACTGCTGCTACACTTCCTGCATAGCTCTTTTTTCTAATAGAAGACTTGGAAATAGAAATTAGTAATAATCATAACAGCAAAAATAGGATTTTTTTCATCTTCTAAATTCCTTTCCCTCCCTATACCCCTGTAACTCTTCAATGAGTAAGGGAAACCTCTTCAGTGTCATGGAAGGGAAGAACCTCCATGATAATTCTTACATTTTAGCCCTTCAGATGAGTCTTTATTACACTGAAGATAAGCTGGGTGAACATGGTAAGCAGATCATTAGTCTACATGTGTTCATCCACAATAAATTCATTGGTGCTTTCTAATTCTGCTCTAAGGCTTACGGCAAACAACTCAATCATATCTATAAAATGCCAGGAAGATTTTTTTACTCCCACTCTCAAAAATTAAGTATATTATATGGACTATACAGAAAATTAGCAATGTAGAAATAAAGTTCAGCTAAGCATGACTCACAAGTCTTAAACTTTCAATTTGATGACTATATCTATGAGAGCATGCTCTACTGGTCCAGTAACAACTTTGAAAAGAGTAGAATATTCACAAATATCCAATTTGATCATTACAAGGAACCAGGACTGAGATTA